CCCGATCGGGATATTTAATCCCGAATTAGGAAAAAAAAAAACTAATATATATATATATATATATATATATATATATATATATATATATATATATATATATATATATATGTATATACATATATATATATATATATATATATATATGGTCCCGGATATGAGAAACACAATAAAAAAGCGAGTGCGTCCACATGTATATAAATTTTTAAAATTGTATGTGCGCCCAGGTGTGTGGGAAAGAAAAAAAGCGCGAGAACAACTGTGTGTATATGATATATATGGGGGGGCCCAGTCCCAAACCCAATACCCGAGAAAAACAGGCGCACCCTCTCATCGTTTATGCGCAAGATGGGGGAGCTCCCGCCCCCCCCCCCCACTCCCCAAATACCCGGAGCCCCCCCCCACACGCCCAAATTCCCGAGCGCCCCGCCCGAGAGATCCCCTATCGCCCCCCCCTCCCCCGACACCGACCCCCAAACGCGCGAACTCCCGCGCCCCCCCCCCGCGCCCCCCCCGTGCGGGCGTCATATATATATATATATATATATATATATATATATATATATATATATATATATATATATATATATATATATATATATATATATATATATATATATTGTCAAGGAGATGAGAAATACAATATAAAATATATTGTTTCAACTTATTTTTAAATTTTTAAAATTTTATTTGTTCCAAGTTTTGTGGTAAAAATAAATAAGGCAAGAACAATAGTATGTATATAATATATTTAAGTTGGTTTAGTGTATAAAATAATATTAATGGAAAAAAGATGCAATATTTCTTAGTTTTTAGGCAAAATATGGGATTTCCCGATCCCAATCCCGATTCCCGAAATATTTAGGGATACCGATATAACGGGGATTTAATAGTTTGGGACGGGATTGAGATTTAAAATTTCTATACCAAATCCCGAAACCGATCCAAAAAATCCCGAATTCCCGAAATCCCGTCCCGAACTCACCCCTAGTGGCCGTAATTTAAATTTTTGAATAACCCACAAGTGACAAGACTATCGCCCATTTCTAAAGACTCCGACATACTTTCTTCTGATTCAAATCGCACCAACGGTTAGTCCTCCATTTCAAACCCTAAGGATCTTCTCTTCGAGTAAGTAACCCGAATTGAAGCCGTCTAGTTCGTGAAAAAGTTCAGTAAGTATGAAATTCTTGCTTATTTCTTACTGCGATGACGAAATTTTAACGACCCTTTTGGTTTTCGTCTTTTGCTTTTTTCCCCGTTCGCCTTGTTCATGTGTGAATTTTTGATTGACTTGTTGTATAGAATTTTAAACCCATCAAATCCAGTTAAAATTCGTTGTGTACACAGTAAAATTCTTGTATTTGCATTTTTTCTTACATTGTCTTGGTCTACTGTGTGTTCTGTTGTTCTTACAGGAAGTTCATGTTCTACTATCAAGAATCAGATTGCAGATTCTGTTCGGAGATTTCCATTAAATTGTGGTAATATGTCTCCATCTAATATGAAATGCCCAAAAGTTGATGTTGTTAGCGTTAAACGGGACCCTAAAAAGTCGGTTGTTGGACAAAAAAATGCCGACAAGGACGAGAATAAGGTTCGTCTCTTAAAAGAGTCGTGGGAGTGTGAATCGGAGAAACTGGCAGCAGTTATTGCCGAGGCTAAACGGTACATTAACGAGTTTGATGCTAAGCATAACTATACGGAATCGAAGAACTCGGAAAAGAGAACGAGAGAAAATCACTGTCCTGAATTTCAGGATTTCGATGAGAAAAAGATGAAGGTTGAGGAAGACGACAGTGAAGAGGAAGAAGTTTGCGTTGTATCGCCCGCAGAGTGGACAGGTTCGAAATCTGGTTTCAAGAACGGTGTCGACTCGTCAAAGGGTAAAATAGGAACAAACCCACGAGGTGTTTCTGATTGTCAGGTGGCTGCAACTAAACGTGGAGAAAAAAACATTGAAAAATCAAGAAAATCGAAAACTCTTACGGAGGTTTGTGTGTTGGATGACGTGTCGGGTGGAAGAGAGAAGTTGCCGATTCGTGCGTTGAACGGAGTGGACGAAGAGCGGCCCCCGACTTTCACTTACGACACCATCATGGAATATCCGTATTGGTATCGGCTAATTAACCCCGTCGGTTGCGATTGCGTGGACGGTTGCTCGGATTCCGAACCGTGCGCTTGTGTGTTGAAGAACGGGGGCGAGATCCCGTTTAATGAAAATGGAAAAATAATAAGGGCGAAGCCTATAGTTCACGAGTGTGGCCCTTTATGCAAATGCCCCCCTTCTTGTATGAATAGAGTAAGCCAAAACGGGCCCCGCTATAAATTGGAGATTTTCAAGACTGAGTCGAGGGGTTGGGGTGTGAGATCTCCGAGTTACATTTCTTCCGGAAGCTTCATATGCGAGTACATTGGGAAGCTATTGAGGGATAAAGAAGCGGAAAAGAGAGTTGGCAAAGATGAATATTTGTTTGATATATGCGATGATTCTCACGAAGAAGAAGGTCAAGGGAAAGTTTGTTCGAATGAAAAATCGAGTGTTGATGGATTTGCTATCGATGCTGCATTGTACGGGAATGTCGGGAGATTTATCAACCATAGCTGCTCACCTAACCTTTATGCACAAGAGGTTCTTTACGACCATGACGACAGGAGAATGCCACACGTTATGTTCTTTGCCTCAAAGAATATACGTCCTATGAAAGAGCTGTTTTATGATTATAATTATAAGATGGATCGAATTTGTGACGTCAATGGGAATATTAAGACCAAGGATTGTCATTGCGGCTCACGAAAATGCACGGGGAGGATGTACTAGCTATCGACACGGCAGATCCTTCGTTTTCTTTGGTTCAACTTCTATGTATGGTTAGGGTTAGTATTGGTATTTTTCTTTTCTTTTTTTCTTTTTTTTTTTGTTGGGATATGTTAGGAGTATTGTTAAGTGATGTATTGAAAAGTGGAGTTGAATGAGTTACCTTTTTACCCTTATTTTCATTTTCACATGGTTTTTTATATAATATTTTCATTTAAATTGACATCGGTAAGGATACCGAAGTGTTTGATCATTATTGTGTACGAATCATTACAGTACCAAAAAATGTGGTATACCGATGTACAGTAAAACGTTACTTACGGTGGTACACGGTACGGTACACTACCATTATCTTATACTCCTTCGATCTCTTATTATTGGTCGTGTTGTTAAATCCGAAAGTCTCAAATTAACTTGCAATCTTCTCTTTTCAACAGTGGTGTCTGTATTTTAATTCAAAACATATACACCAAGAAATAAAAAAGGGACTATTAGTGAGAACCCCCTCCACCTTTATTTTAATGGGGCTATATGCCAAACACCCTTCATTGCAATTTTAATTCTTGATAAATCCTTTATTTATTAATGATATTTGAGATAAATCCAATGGACCTGAAAAACCATATATGCCCCCATTAATTAATCATTAGTATAATTATTTAATTACAAACAAATTATACCCATAATCTACACCCAAATCTGCTCCAAAAATTATTTCTCTCATCACGCCAATTCAGTTTTTTTCTCCTTTTCTTTTTTATTTTGTTTAATAGTTTTCTTTATTTCAATTTAAATAAAATTTTGTAGTTATTTTTATTTTTATTTTTATTTTAATTTTATTTTCGGTTTTTTATTTTAAATTATTTTTTTCTTATTTATATTTTTAATATTTTTTATTTTAATTAAAAAAAATAGTTTTATTTTTATTTTCGTTTTTTCATGGTTTTTCTTTTTTCTTAATTTCGAATTTTTTTAAAAATGTTTTTTTTTTCTTTCCAGTTTTTTTAAATAAAAACCACTCTATATAAACACGAAAACCACTCTGTATAAATAGTTATATAAACATGAAAATCACTCTGTATAATAACTATATAACATGAAAACCACTCTGTATAACATACTATATAACATGAAAACCACTATGTATAACAACTATGTAAACTTGAAAACCACTATGTATAACAACTATGTCAACATAAAAACCACTCTGTATATACAGTTATATAAAAATCTGTACAATAAATTTATCACTCCGTATAAATTTATCAAAGACAAAGCATGACATTATGAAAACCACTCCGTATAAACAACTATATAAACATGAAAACCACTATGTATACACAACTATATAAACATCGAAAACCACAATGAATTCTAACAATAAAACATCAAATTTCAACAAAAAAAAAGCTATGAAACCACTATAAAGGACACCATCTTCTCTCCAATGAATCTTCGAGCATAATCCGTGTAATCATCTTCTTCTCGTTATTCCATTGCGTCCTCAAAATTTGAGCCATAAACTAATATTGATATCCTGTATAAATTACCAAAATATTGAAAACTGGATTCTTAAATGCATAAAATAATATAAAATTCAAATATCATACTAACATCCCTCGTACAAAATTACAATATATCTAGGAAAATAGAATTCCCAACGTGTGGCAATGAATATCCATTACCAAAAATTATGAGCAGATTTCGCCTAATTTATCCTATATATCCTAATAATGACTTGAATTAGAAAGGAAGTAACGCAAAAAGATTTAGAAAAAAATATGAAATACTAGAACAAAAAAATCTCAAATTATTCAGTAATTTAATCTAGACCTTCGGAAATCTATGGAATAGTATACGAACAATTATCTGATAAAGCAGAAAAACAGAAATAGTAAATGATTAGGGCTCTGTTGTGCTTCACTAGAAGGTTAAGTTGAAACTTAATCAAAATGAACATGTATAACCTTGTAGAAAAGATCTTCCACTTCTCGCTCCCGAATGTCACTGGGGAGGTTACCGACATAGAGAGTTCTGCTAGAGCGACTCATCCTTGCTACAGAAAATCAAGCAAAAAAATAATAAATAATAATAAATAAGAAAAAATAAAGTAAGAGTACATAATCTACATGATTACAATTGCAGAAAACAAAATCAATGAATATGGCGATAAAGATTGTCTCCGGGAGGCTGGAATTGGAGTTTACCTTGAAGAACAGACGACGGAGAAAATTAACCCAGCTTAGAAACGGACCGGATGGTGTCGAATCAGAATATTCTAGGGTTTTGAATTGATGTAAACATAATTTCGAACACAAAAAAAAAAAAAAAAACATGACTATTAAGAACTTACAGAGTTTGCGTAATAGCACGAGAACCACTCTGTGTGTTGTTAATATGAAACGTTCTGGTCCTACAATCGGATCGGTAGAAGAAGTGTGGAAAAAATACAGAGATAGCTATGAAACGGTTTCTCTGTAATTAAGGGCCGCAATCGTGGGATTATATGAGGATGTGTTGTTACGATAAAATAGGAAAATATATTACAAATCTTTTTTAATTTTTTTTTTATTTCCAATCATAAAACATACGTTACTTTTAAGTTGGGGGTATAATAGTGATAATTTATTATTTTTTATTATTTAATAATTAAATGGATTTATCTCAAAAAGTTCTAAAAAAATTGTACCTACTGTAATTAGACTTGTGTAATGGGGGACTTTTGACAAATAATCCCTATTTTAATAAGGATGGATCCAGCTCATTTTTCTTTATTAGTGAGAGACCCATCCTTTTTTTATTCTCAAATTTACCCTTCCTCTATTCACTAATTATTATACACTACTTTGATACACTTTTTTATTTTTTTATTTTTTTTTTATTTTAATTTTAATTTTCGTTTTTTTATTTATTTCTTATTTAAAAAAAATATATTTTTTTAACTTTTTTATTATATTTTAAAAAAATATTTTTTTACTATATTTTTTTGTTTTCACTTAAAACAACTATATTTCAATAAAACAACTATTATTAAAACAACTGTTATTAAAACAACTATATATCTCCAACAACTCTCATCTATCAAAATCAACTATTACATTCAACTAAAAAGTAATAAAAACAACTATATTGCTGACGAAAACAACTATATTGTTGTACGAAAACAACTATATTGATGTACGAAAACAACTATATTGTTGTACGAAAATATCTATAAATCTGTAAATAACACCACACAATTTCAACAAAAACAAAACCTACATTATACTATTGATTGAACACAAAATTAGCCTTCTGTATAAGAATTCAACCAAAAACTCCAATTAAGAAAATTAAGATTCGAGAATTGGATTCAAAAAAAAAAAAACTCAGAGAAGAAGAAGAACAACAACAACAATGAAACAATGTGGCGGTGGTCTGTATTGAAATCTCAGACGCAATATCAACCCTAGCGCCGTTGCACAATCTCGTCTTTCTCCCTAGCGAAAACCCAAACGCCGTCCTTGACGAGAGAATCCCAGGGGTGAAGACCGACTTCTTTTCGCGTCGGTGGAGGGAGGAACGCGTTGGGAGAAGAGAGTAACGATGGCGGCGCAGAGATGGAAGAGGGTTGGAGGCGGTGGCAGAACACAGATGGAAGAGAGTTGGAGGCGGCCGATATGTAGAGAGAAAAGAGAGAGAGAAGAATAAGAGAAATAGAGAACGTGAAATAGGTTTAATTATTTTAGATATAATAGGGCAAATTAGGTATATTAGTAATGTCTAAAATAATATTAATTAAAAAAATATTATTTAATATAAGATGGGGAGTTTTCACTAATAATGAAAAGGAGGTTATATCCACCTTAATATAAGTAAATGAATTGGGGGGTTTTCACTAATTATCCCAATAAAATAATGGTCAAGAAAAGGTGTTCATTAAATAACACACACATTACAAAAACACATAATACTCAAAAGGCAAGCTAAGCAACATTTGCAAATAAAAAACCACATTTATTCATAACAAGTAAGTGAATATCGAGACTTCTTTGGACCCGTCTATAGTAGCTTTGCTTAGAATTAAGTTTGCGGCGTGCTGAGGGAGAGGCTGCAGCAAAGGATAAAGCTGGAAAGAATAACGCCGTAAAATCATAACAAGCGCCATTTTAGCTTCCAAAATTGCAAAATTAAGTCCTATACATCTCCTCGGTCCATAACCAAATGGGAAATACGAGAGTTGCCCTTTTGTTGCTTTTGAGACGCCTTCGCTGAATCTGTTGGGATTAAATTAATTTGCATCGTGGCCCCACGTTTTTTTTGTCATGGTGAATTTGAATCACAGGCAGGAAGCGTCCTTGTCAGCGGTTCAGCTAAGAAGGATCCCTGGTGGATATAATCTTAGAACCTGGTGTAGAATCATGGATAACTGCATGAATGCTTGTAATCGTTACCCTTGAATCCGATTCGAAGACATAATTTTCAAGAGAAAAAGGATGTATAAAGAGTTTTCTTTACAAATCGTAGAACAATTCCATCAATGCATTATGTTGATTAAAATTTTTATGTGTATATAAAAATCAAGCTGAATTTGTGTTTAGTTCGATTAAAGCTCGTTCAAGCTCAATTTTGACTGATAGTCAAACAAAGCTCAAAAACGCACCTGCCAATAATAAATTGGCATTAGTGATACCTTAATTGTGATAATATCAAAAGTTATCACTAATAGCTGAAAGACACACAACATTTCGTATGGTGTCACTAATAGCTGATTTTGTTGCAATATATATAATCATTTGTATTTTCACTATATAGAAGTAACAATCAATTTTTACAGCCACTACATACAATTAGTGGATAGCCTATCACTGCAACATTTTTTGCCTAATCATGTAAAAATAGGTGTTGTCACTAAAAGACTATTTCTTGTAGTGACAACTTCTCTATAAGTTTAAACAAGTTTGAATAATCATATGCTCTGGCTCAATTGAATTCGATTGACTTACATCCTAATTAATATTGATATCAACACGTCATTATATATGGATGCGAGTTTCGATGATGCAAGACATTGTACAATAGTCTAAGAACAAAACTTACTATTTTGAGGTGATTTAGCTCTTGAAAATCTCGCTTTCTTGTCCCAAAAGTTTCTAGAACCTCCTCTCTGCCACGAGACTGCCAATCTGAATGCTTACTCAATAAAATCATCGTCCGGA